CAGAGTCCTTGGGGCCGGTCTGCACAAGGGTTTCACAGCCACCATCGCTCCCAGGTCTTGCAGCTCTGGGTCAAGAGGGAGCTTGACAGTGGGGGCAGGAATCCAGCAGAGGCTTGGAGACCTGGAGTGACTTGCTCATGACCACAGGGCTTCTCAGGACAGGGCCTGCAGAAGAAACCCAGCCCTGCTTTCTGGGCCACCGGCTTCCTCCCCGGCACAAGGCCAAACCCTCCCACCAAGGTAATTCAACAGAAGACAATAACACTGCCAGGGAAGGCCGGGAGCCATTCCCTCCTCTTTCGGGGCAGGGGGTTCCCCTCTTACTTAGCACAGGGAGTGCCCCTCCTGCAGCGTAGGCCCCGCCCACTTAGGACACATTTATGATTATTTCACAGTAAATTCGCAAAACATATATTCTATGAAATCACTGTAGGGCTACTGAAAACCCATCACACCAGACGAATGCCCTTCCTTTCTAGAGTAAGTATCAGTATCTACGCAGCTGGGCTCAATCTGGTGGAGTGGAGTGCACTTCCCTCAGAGAAGACCCTGGGTCCAGAAAATGTAGACGGCACAGAACAGAACCAGGAAACTTATTAATAAGTGGTTTATAAGGCATCACAGGAGTTATTAAAGACATCAAGCAAAATGCCTGGTCTCATAATTTGAAGGGGCAAATAGAAGAGAAACCTGATTCCCGTCTGAAGGTGTAGCAGTAAAATCTGTATTCCTCTTTACATGGACTCAAGGAACTCGGGCACAGAGCAGAAAACAAAAGCACTAATAAAAAATCTATGGGGCGGGTGGGACAAGGAAACTGGAGATTCAGTTTTTCCTTTTTTGTTTTTTCCCAGTGGAAATATGATATTTTCAGGTTGGTTATTTTGACTTGTGAATTTTTTTGAGAAAGAAGGTTAGAAATTCTGCCTGAAGTAAACTGTTCATGTTGGTAAGGGGCTGGAAGAAAGAAAGTCACAGTTAATAACAAGCCATGTTAAGCGGATTCTTCCCTAACAGATAAGCAGGCACCATCACAAGCAGAAGGAGATCACTTAGCCCCATTGACTGACTCAGCTCATTATCAATGTCTTCATGTCAATCAGTGGCAGCTATCAGTCATCTTAAAATATTCCCAAACAACTAAATAAATATTTATTAGATACATCCAAATTAAGATATGCCACATGCTGCCCTCTGAGAGGAGATGGCTTGCTTTATTTATTTAATTTTTTTTAATATTTATTTTTTTAGTTATAGGTGGACACAATATATTTTATGTGGTGCTGAGGATCGAACCCAGTGCCTCTCGCATGCTAGGCGAGCTCTCTACCTCTGAGCCACAACCCCAGCCCATATTTATTGATTGTTTTTAGGGCTGGGGATCAAACCCAGGGCCTCATCCAAGCTAGGCAAGTGCTCTACCCCTGAGCCTCACCCCTACTTCTCAGTTCCATTTAACACACACCTGGCATGAACGTCCGTGGGTCTATAAATGAACGGTGACACTTCAGCAAGAAAGAAAGGCTCCCTTCATTCGTACTCTCCACTCTTCCCCGACGTCTTAAACCAAGGCACCTCCTTTCCAACACTGGCTGACTACCCCTGACCAGAAATGCCTGGGACCAGAGAGGTTCTGGGTTGCTTTTGGATTGGGGGATATTTGCATATACATAAATGGGGTACCTTGGGGGCTGGCATCCAAGTCAAAACATGAGATTTGTTTATGCCTCCCATCGCCTTTTACATGTAGGCTAAAGATGATATAATAGAATATTTTAACAGTGTTGTGCATGAAACAAAGGTTCCCACAGGAGCTCAGGCGTGGAACTTCCCATTCAGGGTGTCATGTGGGTGCTTACAGAGTTTCAGGTTCTGTAGCAATTTGGATTTGGAGATCAGGGGTGACTATGGTTTCCTAAAATATGGTTTGAGATTGTCTTCCAAGGGTTCATGTTCTGGAACCCCCGCCCCCCACCCCATATGGTAGAACCTCCAGGAGGTGGGGCCTCGTGTGAGGTCACTGAGAGTATCACCCCTGGCAGGCATTGATGTACTTCTGTGAGGCCCAGTCAGTTATCTCAAGGGACTTGCTATAAAAAGAATGGGGCCCCTCCCTATGCTCTGGTTTCCTGTCTTGCCATGTGGACACTCCCTTTGTCACACAAGCTCCCACCACTGGGAGGCCATCTGCCATGAGGTCCTCACAAGTCCAAAGTTGATGCTGGCCTCAGGCCCTTGAACCTTCAGAACTGTGAGCTACATACACCTCTTTTCTTTATAAGTTACCTGCTTCAAGTGTTTCATGACAGTAACAGAAAACAGACAATGCAGGGATATGCATCTATTCTTATGCAATATGTTTCATCACTCACCCACTTCCAGAAAGAGCATGCTAAGGAACCAAGGCACATATATGCAATTCCTCATCCACTTAAAGCCACTAACTGATCAATTAACCAGGGCCAGAGAGTGCTTTCTGTAAGTGCCAGATGATCAATGCAGGCCACAGGGCTAACAGCAGCATCTCCATCCTCCCAGAGCTGATGATTTAGGAAGTGAGAGTGAGCTCTCTCCTAAACTGGCCAGAGAAAGATCAGAGGCTGCATCCCCCAAGGGTCAGACCACATGCAACAGAGAGTACTCTGATAGCCCAGAGGGAAATGTTACGGATCAGTGTGTTCTGAAGACACATTATGGAGAAGAAAGGGCTTAAATGAAGCTTTGAAGGTTGGGCAGACAGAGGAACATTATGTTTTTCCACGGAAGGGGTTGGTGATTTCTACTGCTGTAATCTGTCATGGGAAGTGACGGCGCTGAATGGAAATGAAGTGTCTTACAGGATCTCTTGGAACTTACACTACCATGCGGGGTGGTTACTGCTGTTGGCACAGAGGACCTAGGATGGGGCTCTCAGTGACTTAGTAAGGCTGGCTGGGGTATAGGGGGGCGTGGCGGTGCCGGGGATTAAACCCAGGGATGCTCTCCCACCAAGCTGAATCCCCAACTCTTTTATTTTACAACAGGATCTCACTAAATTGCCCAGGCTGGGCTCAAACTTGCAATCCTCCTCCTCAGCCTCCTGAGTCTCTGGGATTACTGGTGTGCGTCACTGGCCTTTGAAAGTTAAAATGCAGAAAGACCAGACAAGAACCTGAATAAAAACAAAGTCACAGGAAGAAAAGAGAATAGCTCCTGGGCCATCCTCCCTCGTCCATGACCTCACTGAACTCGTTCACATGGGAATTCATCATGCGACGTCCTGATTAGCCAGGGAAGCTGCAGGCTATCTGCAGAGGTGAAGACCAAGTGGTACTCACCAACAGATGTTCAGGAAAGAGGTAACTTTAGAGAAGTCTGTGTAGGCCAGGTGCAGTGGTGCACACCTGCAATCCCAGGCCTTGGGAGGCTGAGCCAGGAGGGGGGCAAGTTCTAGACCACCCTGAGCATGTTAGTGAGACCCGTCTCAAAACTGAAAGGGCAGGGGGTGTAGCTCAGTGGTACAGCACTTGCCTAGTATGCAGGAGGCTCTGGATTCAGTCCACAGTAAGGAAGGAAGGAAGAGAGGGAGGCAGAGAGGGAGGAAGGGAGGGAGGAGTCTTTGTGGATTCCAGCACTGAAGAACAGCTTCCTGAACTGGAGACGAGCTAGGCATGCTGCTAATGGACCTTGAACATCCTTGGCCAATTGCAATATAGCTGCTCTCAGTCTGGTAATATTCCCTGCTAGATTTACTGGGTCCTAGTCCTAGCCTGTTTTCTGTTGCTAGTAACAAAATACCACAGATTGGATACGTTATAAAGAAAAGAGGTCTGTGTTGGTTACAGTTCTGCTCCAAGGCCGAGGGGCTAAATCTGGTGATGGCAGATCAGAGCAACACATGGTAAGAGACAAGGAACACATAAGTGATTACCTTCTCATCTCTATTCTGTTTCTTTTTTGTGTGTGTGGCGGTGGGGGGGGGGGGTACCAGGGATTGAACTCAGAGATATTTGAACACTGAGCCACATCCCCAGCCCTATTTTGTATTTTATTTAGAGACAGGGTCTCACTGAGTTGCTTAGAGCCTTGCTTTTGCTGAGGTTGGCTTTGAACTCACAATCCGCTTGCCTCAGCCTCCCAAGCCGCTGGGATTACAGACATGCGCCACCACTCCCGCTACCACTCCCGGCCCTGGTCTCTGTTCTTATAAAGCCGTCACTATTCAATCATGGGGCCCCACACTGATGACCTTACTGAATCCTAATCACTTCCCAAAGGTCCCTCCCACTTAATGCCTCACAATGGGAATGAAACTCCAACATGAGTCTCAGGGGGGACGAACCACATCCGCATCACAGCAGCCCTGACTGCAAACCCACGTGCATTTTATGATAATGGTCTATCACAGAGGCTGTGCGGGTCCCTGTGTAATTTCCCACTGAACCAGCACAGACAGCAGCATTCTGCCATGCGTGGAAGCCTGCCCTGCCCACAGAGGAACAGTGCGGAGTCTGTAAGGTCAGGTGGTTAGGAAGGTCACCCTCAGGTGGCTGAGCACTGAAACACTTATGCCTTTGTATTCATGGTGCAGGCGGAGATGCTCAGTGACCGCGCAGGCTCCTTACTGGTGGGTTAATAACTGTAATTGCACATACTTTACAGGAGTGTTGTAAGGATCCGCAGTGGTTTCGGGCACGGAGGAGGGATTAGGTAAGCATCTGCAGTTATTACTATCATTATTACTTTGACAATTGGCATGTTTGCAGCTGAGAAAAGACTGAATTAATTAATGATTACACCTACTTCCCTCCACGATCCCATATCACTGACCCAATTCCAGGGAAATGAGAATCAGCCGGTTGCCAGCCACTGTGTGGTCCAGGAAAGAGGGATCTCCCTCCACACAGACAGCTGCTCGGAAGCCCACACCTTGCAGAGGACGCCTCTGGAGCAGGACAGACAGACAGGCTGAGGGCCCAGGAATGGCCACTGCTACGCCCCAGCCCTGGAGGGACACTCACCACGTAGAGATTGCGCCAGATGACAGCCCATTCTCGCAGAGTGCACGTGAGCTCCTGTACCAGCGGGAGCTCCCCAGGGATCACGGTCTCGTTCTGCCTGAGAGAACCAAACAGACGCTCCTTTTACCGTGGGGTGATCGGAAGTGCTTTTCTAGACGACATTCCCCAAATGCAAGATAGGAATGGGGACGCTCCGGCTTGAAATCGCCAAAACCTGTGCGTGGAGGGAGCGTGTGTCGGGTAGGACACTTACCCTCATCTGAGACAAAGGAAGCATTTCAGAACAGCACAGTCCCCCACCTGAGCTCAGGTTCTGCAGACTCCACCCCCCCATATGGCCTCATGATGGCTTCAGTGGTTCTCAGAAATGTAAGTGAGAAAAACATTGTGTTCACTGGTTCCACCAGGGAGGACAGGAAGAGAGTGTGCCTGGCGTGAACATCCCGGACACTGTGACCTCAGCCACCTCCTTCCAGCAGGGACTGGGGCAGCACCCGCTTCTCACCTGCTGCTTCACAGCATGGAAAACACAAAAAAATCCTCACAGTTACTCCACTACCTTTCCTAACATAAATCCCCTCCAGTATTTCTATCATGAGCTAAAGAAAGAGCAATTGCCAGCAAACAAATGTGAGCAAACTCCAGACAGAGTGAAGGAAGTGTTTCAAGATGAATATGACTCGTGAAACACCTGGGGCACACTTCCTATGGGAATCACAGAGGGCCCCCGGCTTATGAGGTTCAACTTCCTATTTCACAGCTTTATGAAGGTCTGAATGCATATCCATATGGTCAACACTTTATTATAAAATAGGCTTTGTGATAGATGATTTTTCCCAACTCAGGCTAATGGGAGAAGGCAGACTAAGACATGCAGGTTAGATGTCTGAGATGCATTTTTGACTTACAACATTTTCAGCTTGCAACAGGTTTATGGGGACCTAACCCCATCATAAGCTGAGCCTCTGAGTTGTAAATTTACCAGGGCTTTCTGCAGTTCACCTGGCAGCCCTGTTGGGTACAACGGGCCTCCTACTCTGCCTTTCCACCAATGTGGCAAATGACATCTGGAGTCTGCCCAGGATGGCCCACTGGAAAGATGACTTCTCCAAGAGGGCAAGACACCTGGCTTTTGGTCCCAATTCCGCCATCAAAGAGTTGTGTGAAGCTGCCTTCAGATGAGGGTGCTGAGCTTAGGATGGAGAAAGTTCTTTCTGGCTTTGGGGCTGCATAACTCTGAGACCCAGCCCCCTCCTCCCCTGCCAGCCATGGATTCCAGGCCCACTTCTGACTGTCTCCTTAACTCTCCGGCCTGGAGACTCAAGAGCTCCCTGCTTCTTTCCCGGTTTGGCTGAATATCATTTTCTTGGGTGTCACAAAGGCAGTACTTTTCAGTACAAAAGAGACAGGCAAAAAAACGGGACAAGATGAACCTCAGCAGATGTGATGTGCAGAGCACATTCACACCTATCAGGTCACTGGAATCTCACATCAGGCCCATGAGCAACCCCTGCAGAGCTGGACGGCTGTCCCCAGTGTGCAGTGAAAAACCCAGGTACACAGTAGGCTCGGGATGTGTCCCTGCTTCAGAGCTGATCCATACAGACTGCCACTTACTCCTCTCCCTTGCAAAGATTCCAGACTGGGAACTTCTCGGATTCAGCTGAAGAGCCCCACATGTTCATGTATGAGCACGTGCACACACACACACACAGTGAGCAGGTAGTAAATACAAGGAGGGGCCCAGGCCCTCAGGTGATGACAGCTACCTGTCATCAGCAAGATGCAAGGGAGGAACCATTAAGACACAGCAAGGAATTACATCAGGGAAGTGTTCTAATCCTGTCCCTCTCAGAGGAGAAGTGGAGCCAAGGAGATGGGAGTAATGTGAGTGTGCAAGGCACCCTGTCACGATGTCTTCCTGAACTGGAACTTACCCTCGGTCTTCCACAGTTGCCTCTTTCAGATGGATATAGGTTTCAGGAAAAATACCCTACAGAGAGAAGAACAGTAGTGATTAAGACCATAAAAAAACCTCAGTCCAAGGTCTAATGCACCAAGGGTCGCAGGAATGACTGGGGACACCATGAGGACAGGAAGTTTTCTGCTCAGGTTTGCAGGATGTCAGCCACAGTGACAGGCTACCTCAACAAACGTGTGGATGGAACATTGAAAAGGCAGAAATTAAGATCTGGGCTCAGAGAGCACAGGACTCACGTTTCATAAACCAAGAGGCAAACTGGTCCCTGTCAGCTCAGAGCTCCAATGGTGGCAAGGAGTTTACCAGAGAGCCTCAAAAAAAACCCCTTCACAGCCAACACGCACGAGATGGTTCTCGTTAAAGGATCCCACAGAGTGAGTGAGTCAGACAGCTCTGTGGGACCAGCTCCTGGGCTCCTAAAGTGACTGTGACTTCCTGAAGCCATTCCTCTGAGCACTTTCACTTAAACCAAATGCATCCCAAACCAGACACCAGTTACCTGGTTATTCCCAGCACTTCCCAACCTTCAACGCCCTGCCTTCTGCACCCGTAAAAGGCAATTCTATGTCAGTATTGCGAAACTGCCCACGGGGGACACTAAGGCCCAGGAGGACCAAGGGGAAAGACATTAATACTGCTGAGTAGAAACTAGAGGACCGAGGATCGATCCGGTCTACCAAAAGGAAGCACCTCGTTCCCGAGGGTTTTCTTAAATTCCAAGAGCTCCTCTTTCATAGTGCAATACGCTCCCTCTGCCAAGAGAAAAAATGCCATCTGGAGAAGGCACTGCTGGGCACAGGGCAGCTTCCATGCCAGGCCAGACCAGGGAAGAGGAGAGCCTGCCGGGGGACACCTTGGCTCAGCTCCCAGAAGAGCTGGTGTGAACTCCGTGGACACTCCATTCAGGGGCGCTGCCCAGAGGACGGTGGTTCGGGTCCCACGTACACCTAGGGCTGCTCCTGGGTCCAGCGTCACTACTATATTTGTCTGTACAATATTCTCCTTTTCATCCTCTGCCAGTAAAACAGGAAACAGCAAGAACATCTCGGATTAAGCGGCTCCCAGCGTTGGTGATGACGGAGTTGATCCTGCATCTGCTCCAGGCAGACGCCCAAGGGCCCACCCTCTCCCAGCCAGGCAGACAGGACCAAGGAGAAAGTGCAGGCCTTGGCCTGGCTTTATGCGAGGGGCAGCTGGGGTCATGTGGGTATTCCAGGCCCATGACTGATAAGACCAAGGACACACAGACTGGGCGACTTCATCTCTTTCTTTACACGTACCAACTGCGAGCAATTTTGGAAAAATGACCAAGCAATTAAGCCTAAACATTCAATGTGTGTGTGTGTAGTTAGCTTGGGTCCTGATTTATGGAACTCCAAAGCTCCACATCTGTCCCCAGGATGCCTCAGGGACTGTGGGTGTTTCTCTTGTCTGCTGAGCTGAGACCCGGACATGCTCTCTGGATCTCACCTTGAGGACGTGGTATCAAGCCAGTCACAGAGAGTCCCAAATGAGAAACCTGCAGCAGCTAGACTCAAAGTAGAACTGGGTCCCAGGGGCTGAGGGAGGGGTCTGAGGAGCTAGTGCTTCACATGTACAGAGCTTCAGTTGGGAAGGTAAAAAGGCTCTGTGTGTGGATGGTGGTCATGGAGGCATGAAAACATGAATGTACCTAAATGTCACTGCATTGCACATTGAAAATCAGCAAAGGTGTGAAATTTCATGCATTTTAACCACACACACACACACACACACACACACACACACACCAAAAAAGTCCAGAACTCATTTAAAAAGCATGGGGTGTGGGGTGGTGGAATGCTTTGGGAAGAGCTAAACTGCTTAACAGTAGTAACTACAGAGTAGAAATTTCAAGATGTGCCATTGCTGTGGCTGGGGGTATAGCTCAGTGGTAGAACTTAGCTTGGATGAGGCCCTGGGTTTGCTCTGCAGCACCCCAAAAAAGTAACACTGCTAGTCCAAAGGAATCTCCTTGCAAGAACTCTTTCAATCAAGAAGGCAAAAAGGCCAGTTAAAATCGTCATGCATTCAATCTGGTGACCGCTCTGTCCTTCCCAAGGGGGAGAGCACCAAGGCAGAAGTGTTCCGATTTATAAGCAGAGACGGTTTGTGATACCTAAGCCAATCACCAGCCGACGTTCTACGCTCGAGTTCGGACATGATGTTCAGACTGAGAGAAAATCAGTCTTACCAACCTGTCATTTGAAGGCTCCATGGTGCCATGGTGGCATTGACCATGTATAGCCACTTAATTTGCTCTGGTAAATCTGATGCTTATGGAGCTTTTCTGATGACACATAAAAAAAAGCCAGAGCAAACTTGGGTCATATATGTCTGATTTATAGCCCGTCTCTCAATCCTGCTTTTCCTTGCTTAATGCAGCCAACTCAATTAAAAAAAAAAAAAAACTAATGGTGTTTAGATGTTGCCTTTATCCACCCTCCACGATCCTGCAGGATCAATAACCAGTTTCTACAGAGCTCTTGGCTTCTTCAATTCACAAAACCACTGGCTCCTTCCATCACCACTCTAAATGACCAGGTCTGATTATAAATGGCCCCGAGGATGTCCATTAAGACCACAGGCCCTCAGGCAGCTCTTCCCCAACAGGAAGGCGGGCACAGCTCTAGAGAGCGCTGCTGATGGGTTGGACTCGTAATGAAATGGTGTGGAAAGCTGAGCCTGTTCAGGAGCTGGGACTTGGCCTGCCGTCCATTCTCCTTGGATCTCTCCACAGGAAAGGTGCTTTAACCTGGGGTCATCACATCGGGATGTCACAAAGTTCTTCAATTATCAAGAACAAAGAGAAGCGCTTCCTGAACTATTTCTTCTGAAATGTGACTTTTTAAGCTTAAACAAGGAACTATTGAATGAATTTAAAAAAATTTTAAAGCACATCTGAAACTTATTTACATCCTAGGGGGACATCTGTCCATCAAAGACGACCTCAGGGCACCAGCAGCTAGGTGGGTTTGGGTATATTAGGAAATCACAGAAGCTCTCAGAAACCAAGCACTTCTCTGCTGTGAAGCAGCCTTACAGACTCTGAAAAGGAAAACCTGTCGGTCTGGGACCTTGGTCAACATGTGTGTATTCACCAGCTAAAAATCAAGACTTCGTTTGTTCTTGACATTTCATGTGAATTTATCTGGGAATTTTGTTGGTTTGCTTATTTGTTTTGCAGGGCTGGGGATCGAACCCAGGGCTCTACCTCGGAGCTATGTCCCAGCTCTTCTATATTTTTAAAAATTAACTTACAAAATAAAAGATTGGGAATTAAGTGACCTCCATATTTTTGCCCTCTAATAAACTCAGAACATCAAAGTTTTATTAACTCCTTTTGTGCAAACACCAGCAGGGCTGAACCCCAACTAAGCAGTAGTGGCTGCTGGCCAGGTAACCTGCCTCCAAGCCCCGCACCTGAGTCCTAGCCTAGACCTTAAACCTCACGGTTTAATTCACTCCAGCACCTGCCTCCGTCGGAGACACTGGGGTCAACAGGAGAGTATATGAAAATAATTCATCTTCAAGTGAAGACATGAGAATCTAACAGCAGGTAGAAAAATTCAGCATCAGGGTTTGTAGAGAGACAGAAGGCTCCACACTAGGGAGCTGTCAAAGTAGATGTCACCTTTGTTTGGTTACATTATTAAGTTGTCAAAGCAAACTGTGTGTGTGCATTTGTGTGTGTGTGTGTGCACGCAAACACCAAGTGTGACTGAAGAATCAACGTTTTTCAGAGCTTCTACCTTGTAGGAAGGTGTTCTGGGGTCCCGAGCTCTTTGGAGAGTCACCCCCTCTGAGCTCTTTGGGAGCTCAACATCTGCCCACTTGCACGGGACTACTGCATGCTATGTCTGAGGAAAGAGAACTGTGGAGGTTTTCTGTTTGCTTTTTCCTGTTTCTTTTCTTCTTCCCTCTTGATAAACTCAGAACTTTTTCTCTCTCCCCTTCCCTATTTCGCTATCTGGCTCCTGAGCTAATGGTGATATAAGAAGGCCCGACCAACTTTGCTCTTTCAAAACAAAGTGCTGAGATGGCATGTTGTCCCAGCAAGCCGTACCAAAGGCACAGAGCTGACGGGATCTAAAATAAACCAAGGGGGGTATTAACACAACTAGCAGTTTTATTAGCTTGACAATGAGTAGCTCTGACACTGGGAAAAGAAACCGTCTAGATGGGTATTTTTCAAATTCTGCCCGGGATGAATAGTAGGAGATGAACTTTTATGGTGGACCAGTCCTGCACATCAAATACCTACATTAACAATGCATGAAAAACAGGACACACACCTAGGACAAGAGTTTCACGAGACAGTACTTACCACAGCGCCCCATTTTCTTCCCTGCTTTTCAACTTCATGTTTTTGTAAAATGGTGGTTTAGAATTCACTGTACTGATTTCATCATGTCTTATTGGGATAGTGAGGCTCAGACTTGAAAACTGTCCATCTGACAATGAAGACAAGAGTCAAGTGGCCACAGGGAGGCCCTTCGGTTGGGGGACTGAGCCTTGAAAGTGCAGGATGAAGGGAGAAGTGGTCCTGGCCTCTCTGAGAGATGCCCCTGGGGCACTGTTCTGCATCACCAGCCTGCTCAGCTTGAGGGGCAGGGAGCCAGAGGCCAGCCAGGGCCTCTTCCTTGCTTCAGATGGTGGGAAACACAGTCCATGGGATTTACACTATTATTCTTGAGCACTGAGGTCAGAGAAATTGCTGTTAGATCAAAAGAAAAGCCTCAAAAAACAAGCAAACTAGGTCCAGAGAGAGCAGATAAGGAGACCAGAGAACACAAGATTGCAGACAGTTCAAAAGACATAAACAATTCAACAACAGGCCGTACCTTTTTAGATTTATTCTGGAGGGTGTAGCCTCGATACCAACCTGTTGGGGTAAAAGAGAACACAGAATCTTATTATGTTTACTGGATAACATAAAGATGTCAGTAGTTATCATTCTTCTGTTAGCACACGAAGCTCACATGCTAAAAGGAGAACCCAAGAGATAATGAGTGGACAACGTATTAGGACAGGAACAGTCACGTTTGCCATACAGTAAAAATCCAGATCTGCTTCAGAGCTGTATTCTCTTGATAACTCGAGGACTGGAAATTCAAAGGCCCAAGCCCCTTATCTACATAGCAGTCCAGACCCATAATACCTCGTACCTATGGTCATTCAGTACATGTTTTTGTCTGAAAATTACTTCCATTATATATATACAAATTCTCTACACAATGAAATACCTTGTCACCTTATACTACTAAAATACATCTTTTTAAATAATTTTCACTTCGGCTCTCTCATTCTTCTGCATTCCCAAGTTAAGAATCAATATTCTGGGTCAATTTTAAGTTGTAGTAAACTTTATCTCTATAGATATTTGACCCCTACCACCCCCAAAATATCTCCAACAAATAATAAAACATTTCATGCAATTTTGGGTAATGCTAAAACACCCTCCTTAATTAAAAAAAAAAATTACTGGTGCTTTAGAAAAAGACTTTAATTTCCTTTTTAAAATTCCAATAAAGACAGATATACCTACAGATATTTTCCCATCCTATACCTTATAGAAGGGGTATACATTTTAATCTGTCCACAAGCAAATATCTTATATCAAAACCTCCCTGAACACGTAGTGTGGGAATTGACTGGAATAATGTTCCCCAGCCCCTTGGCATCAACTGAGGCATCGATGTGGTCACCCGGCCCAAGGGAATCCTGTCGCAAGTAGTGCACAGTGTAAAGTACCAGACACAGACAGGGAGCAGATGCAATGGGTGATGAGTCCTTCAGGCATCTGCCAGGAGGTTCTAGAAGGCTCCGGGGCTTGTATCTATATGAAAGCAACCAGAAAATAGTCACCTAATCTATGCTGTGTTGTAAGCAGAAAATTGAATTTACCTTCTTTGGGGCACAGATGTAATAATATTTTTTACATAGTTTAACTTGTCAATTGTAGTCAAAAATTTAAAGGACTTTGCTATGTTTTGCAGGGAGGAGTGGGGTGCTCTGCTGTAGAATTGTGGCCTACATCAAGGCACAGGGTTAGAAAAAGATATCTGAACCAGAAACACCATCCCCAATTTAGGATGCCAACGTGCAGGAAATCGGGTAATGAAAGACCAAGCTGAACGCTCCCCCCCGACCCCCAGGGCTCCAGGGTCTGTACCCACCCACACGCACTCGCTTGGTTCTGCTAAAACATGAAAATGGGTTTTTATTGTTTTTATTTTATTGGTTCTTTTTAGTTATACAGGACAGTAGAATTCATTCTGATGTAATTGTACAATTATATATCTTATAATTGATACATATCTTATTCTAGTTGGGACCCCATTCTTGTGGATGTACACAATGGTGGGATTCACATGGTATATACATATATGTACACAGGAAAAAATTTTCAGATTCATTCCACTGTCTTTCCTTTTCCTATTCCTCCTGTCCCTTCATTCCCCTTTGTCTAATCTACTGAACTTCTATTCTTCTCCTCTCCCCACCCCCCACCATATTGTGGGTTAGCTTCCACATATCAACAAAAACATTCAGCCTTTGGCTTTTGGGGTCTGGCTTATTTCACTTAGCTTGTTAATCTCCAGATCCATCCATTTACTGAAAAATGTCACAACATTATTCTTCTTTATGGCTGATTAATATTCCATTGTGTATACAGACCACATTTTCTTTATCCATTCATCTGTTGAAGGGTACCTAGGTTGGTTTCATAGCTTAGCTATTGTGAATTGAGCTGCTCTAAATATTAATGTGGCCACATCACTACAGTATGATGATTTTTAATTCCTTTGGATATATACCAAGGAGTGGGATAACTGGGTCAAATTCCAAGTTGTTCCAAGTGGTTCCATTCCAAGTTGTCTGAGGAATATCCATACTACTTTCCAGAGTGATTGCACCAATTTGCAGTCCTACCAGCAATGTATGAGTGTACCGTTTTCCCCACATTCTGACCAACATTTATTGTTATTTGTATTCTTGATAACTGCCATTCTGACTGGAATGAGAAGGAATCGCTCCAGTTTTTAATTTGCATTTCTCTAATTGCTAGAGATGTTGAACATTTTGAAAATGGTTTTGGACAAGTGATTGGCTTCAATTTCACCCTGGGTCAAGGCAGAGCCAGGGCCCATGCTGAGAAACTACAGTTGAATCTTGTTCAAGCAGTTCTCAGCTTCTAAGAGGCCCTATAAAGCTAAGATGTCACAATTTAGACTTGGATCCACTTTCAGGAAGAATTTATCTGCACTTCTGAAAACAGTATTCTGCACAGCCAATCATCACAGAATTATGTTTCTTAAACCTGTCATTTTTGAAAAACTTTAACGTCCTTGCTTTTTCTCCAGAATTATGGTGCACAAAATAATCATGCTGGATTTCAAAAGCAAACACTCATTTTCCTTGGCATCGGCAGTAGCAGAACACGTCTGTCTCTGGGGTTTTAATCATACTCTTGCTCCACAAACTCCATTGCTAATAACTGCAAAGGACAGGGTAATAGCTCACAAGTGTGTCTGCTGCTTTCACATGACAAACCTGAACGGAAATACAAGCAAGAGCCCCATTTTCCAGTTAATTCCAAATATGAATGTAAGATAATCATAATCAAATACAGTAAGCTATTAGGCTTTGAGCTGTGTCATGAGGTGATGAGGCAGAGAGTGCCTATCAACAACAGCTGTAATGAACAGGCCGCGCTAACGGACTGGTAGAACCTCGGATGCTTGCTTTTTATGCAGCGCTGGGGATGGAACCCAGGGTCTCACACAGGCTAGGCAAGTGCTCTGCCATTGAGCTCCCCTCCCCACCCAGCCCCCAGAAGCTTTCTTAAATTATTACGTTATTAAGATGAAGGGGAAGGTGAGTTCAGAAGAATGATTCTTACCTGCGTTTAGGTGAAAGGACAATCTCAAAAGGAAGTTTACCCCAACCATCGTGACCACCAAGTGAGTCTATGCTCAGAGCAGTTCTTCCAGTAGGATCACAAATCATTTCTGTTCTCCTGGAACTGTCCCCTCCAGGATAAAACTGCCTTCTCTGATTCAAAAATATCAAAATGCCTCGTTCCTTATCAAAGGTACCTACTTTTCCTGGTGTCTTGTCATCCCCATCAGTCCAGACTCTACCATCTTCTCATTTCACCTCACCTACCAAGTGTCCCTGGGGCCACTGCACGTTCTGGCTTCTGCCTAGGGATACCTTACCAGGCTCCTGCTGTCACTCAACAGATAACTTATTAAACACTAATCTAAGGAGCGTGGTGTGGAGGAGAGCAAGGTTACCATGTGGATTCCAGTCCAGTGTAAAAACAAACACAGACGCAAGGTGATCTGAGATCACGTCGGTACTCAGAGGAAGGAGTGCTCAAGGGGAGTAACAGCTGAGGATGGCTGGTGACATGGCTGGTGACAAGGGACATCCATGAGGTAAGGCCATCTAAGAGAGATCACTCAGAAGCTAAAAGGATCCAGCCATGAAAATATCCAGGGAAAGAAACTTCCAGACAGAAACAAGTTCTGTGAGAAAGGTGTGTTAAGCCTAAGCTTGGGGTTCAAAGAAGATACGGAAGTGCTTCCGCAGCCATAGCCGTGAGAGAGGAGGCAGGCAGGAGGCCGAACAGAGAGGGCAGTGGGGCAGGCCCTCAGCCCTGGGCTCCCACTGGACTCCCGGGGAAACTTAAAAAACAGAGGCCATGTCCAGGACCCAGGCTTAGGGCTTCTTAAAAGGTGCCCTGGGGTGCTAGGATCCTAGATGCAGCCAGGATTCCAGGGGATTCCATGCACCCCAGGCAGGACCTGGGTTTGACTCCAGGGACAACAGGAAACACTGGAGGGTTTAAAGGTCATCGTGCCTTGTGCTTCTAGAGCTGCTAGGTGAGGAGGGAGGCCAGATGGGTAAGATGGGCACAGGGAGGACCAGTGGGAGGGGGCAATGGAAATGGGCAGAGATGGAGAGATGCAGGATAAATCTGGAGTCCACAGGAGCTGCTCATGGTTTTGCTGTGAGGAGCCCTGAATGGCGGGCACTCAGCTCTTGCTGAAACTAATGGGCGGACAGGACATCTCTGGCACAGGGAGACCAACTACAGAAGACCTTGGAGGGTGGGAGGAGGGGAGGGCAGGGGTGTCCCTCCTGAACAACTGAGGTCTGCAGCTGTGAGGTGGCACGGTGCAACCTAGGCACCCACCACGAGGGGCAGGGCAGACCCTTAGTGGTAATTACAACATAGTTAAGTAACGACAATTACTATTTCACAGCAGGACATATTAAAAGAAGGTAAAAGCTTCGGTCAGAAACCTTGAGTAGGAAACACAGGTGAGGCCACTGAAATGCACATCAACAGGAGTGTGTGAAAAGAAAAAGGAAAAGAATCAGCTCTAGAAACACACAGTATTCAAGGAAAGAAATGTGATCAGGGTGCAGCTCTGCTGCTGGTGCACTGGCATGATAATAACCCAAACAAGAGCTCTGAAAAAAGCCACCGCGCATCTCCACTGAGTTACTGACATTAGGGACAAGAAGGTTGGTGGCATGAAGGAGAGTTAGATCCTTTCACAGTAAGAAGTCAACACATGAAACTGACAAGGGAAATACCAAGTCCTAAACGCACAGATATTCAGAGACGAAGAGGTGTGTGGATGAAAGAGTGGAGAGAGCTGGCACTCCTCAGAAATGAGAAGCAGGAAAGGACGGCTGCTTCTCGTGACACACCTTGTAGAAACGATCCGGCTTTTCAGATTGTTTTTCTTTACGACAGATAAAACTAAAAAATTAAGAAAAATGTAGCTGATAAGTGCTGGTAAGCCAGGCAAAGGCAAAAATCACAAGGACAGAAAACAGATCAGTACTTGCCAAGGGCTGAGG